AAAAAATAATATAAAAAAATTTTTAAAAATATAAACACATATTTATAGATAGATATATACATAGAGAGAGATATAGAGAGAGAGAGAGAGAGAGAGAGAGAGAGAGAGAGAGAGAGAGAGGGAGATTTGAGAATACTCTAAATAGAACATCGCGTCACACGAGAGGACTGAAGATCTAGAAAACGACAATACAAACAAGAAGAGAAACAATGTGTTTATTTTATTCAAACGAAAGAACTTTACTAGATAATTTAGTAAAGTTCTTTCGTTTGAATAAAATGGACACATTGTTTCTCTTCAAAATAAAAAAGCCTAAATCGTCAAGATTTTGCTGTGATGAAGTTATGCCACTGGTTCAACCTCGCGTCAAACTATTGTCAAAAAATGATGATTTGGGGCAAAAACATAAAGACGAAAGATATTCTGTTGTCAGTGGTTAAACATTTTGAACCTTTCTTTTTCGTTTTGAGGATTTGTGAAGATTTTATTGTTTTTTATTCTAAGTAACCTTTTTGAAAGATTTTCTAACGCTGATGTATTCATTTTCTTTTCTCTTGTTTACAGATCAGAGTCATATTCTCAGACGCCAAAGCTATATGTTTCGTTGAAATCGTAAAATCAGATTCGACACAATCTGACTACCAATCCTCCACAAAAAGCCGTATGACTTCAACTGAACTCCTCAAACTTCAAGGAGTTTACTTTCCTGTTTGATTACGATTCTGTGACCAAGAAATTGTACAACATTATAAACTAATCTTAATGCTGAGAATTCCTCTCATTAAGATTAAATTAATTGACATCCTAATAATCTAATTATGCTTATTTATATGTGGATTTATATCATGTTTCACGGTTAATAATAAATCAAATTTTGCTACATTAGCGTCGGTGTTAATTAAGTGACAAACAGCCTTATTTAAATGTAAAATGTTTAATTTATCAGTGCTATGATTTTCATAGGCAAATGTGGTTTGAAAAATTTGCAACTGTTGTTTTGTTCTTCTTTTTAAACTATTTTTGCATTACCACGATGCATTTCAATAATTTCTTGAAACGGTAAATATGAATAATTCAAAACAGATAAAGAGATCTGCTGCGTTTGTATCACTAAATCTTTGAACGTTGATTTAACATCAGTTTTCAACGATAAGGAACTGTATTAATAAACATACCAATTAAATCTTGGATTTCTGACCGATAGCGATTAGCATGAGGACCTCCAATGCAAATGTCAGTGTTGTTTGTTAATTTATGTAAAAATAACATGTATACCGTTATACATAACTGGTATACGGATATATTAGATTGGTATGCAAAGTTAAGCATTGATTCAACGATTTCATCATTAATTTGAAATGTGACAGATGCACCTTGACCAGTACGCGTTTGCTTTAAATTTTCTTGTTAATCATATGGTAATAAATGTTTTTCTGTATTATATCCATCTAATATTGTTTTCCAATATATTCTCGCTTGGTTGATGTCAGAATCAGATGAATCATCATCCAACATTTGTCTTTCATATATTGCATAATCAATATATTGTATAGAATTAGTATTTAAAACAATATTATTATTATAAGCATTCTGTAAATCTGTCAGAAATGGTTTTACAGAACCTCCGTCAAAGGCTATATAATGCAGATTAAACAAAACAATATCACCATGAATCAAAATATCTTTGTCGAAAGTTTCACACTCATGTTTTATAACATGACATCTTACAACAAGTCCTGATTCTAAATTAAAATATTGTTTATTCACTTCTTCTTGTAGTATTTTATCTAATTCTTGTTTATTAGATACATAGCTAATAGCAAACAAATAATATTCATCATGATTTATTAATTCTTCTGGTATTACATTAACATGTTGTTCTAATTTTCCAGCAGAATACTTTAATCCTGTTCGTAAAATTTTGTGTTTTCTAATAACCATTATCAATGCATTACGCAAATGATTCAGTGATAGAGTCTGTTCCACTATTTGAATTACTATTGGGATGTTATACATAGCTACTGAACTATTTTCGAATTGTAGTTGTTCATCAATCCATATGACGCATACTTAAAGAACGTCCAGGAAGATTAAGTTAACAAATGTAGGGAAACTAGACTATAAAATATCTTTAAGAATTTCTAACATCAAAATATCCGTAAAAAATTATGAGAGATTTCGCTACGGCATCGAGAATTGCCATCATATGGCAAAGATCACCTTTTGTCCGAACTGATTTCATTCGATTTCCTACCCAAAAGTAGCGTGACGAAATATATTTTCGACCAAGGTACCTCTTTGTTGTCGAGAAATTGACGTATTCTCCAGTGCACTTCAAAAACGTTGAAAAAAATGACTACTTTTGTATTTTGGTTATATTTTTAAAACTTTTCACCTGCCCTTTTCGGTAGAGTTCCCACGGGATCGAGATAATCCCGTGGGAGACCTCTGTTTTCATGGAGAAAAATTCGAAATACTCTGAAGGCCACAAAGTGGGGAAAAACCTTCGTGTTTCGAAAAAGTTAAAGAGTTTTGAAGGTTTTTATATGTAATGTCATTGCACAAAAAATTCTTTTACAAGCATAGCTCCAAAGCGAACGCTTTGCAAAACATGGAGCGATGGAGCTTTTCAAACTTAAGTGGCGTTATGTGGCGAATAATCATTATCTCATACAGTCACAGATATCAAGTTTCACATCATGAAAATATATTTTGTGTGAAGCTACTTTTCGAACTCACTTTCACCCTGCTGGGGGCGGGGGGGGCGCGCGGCGGCGGCGCCGCCGGCGGCGCGGCTGCGCGCGGGCCGGGGGGGTATGCGGGTTTGG